TGATTTAACCTTAGGGTATGATCATAACCTTTTTTCTTGAGTTTCTTAGTTAAAAATGAAGCCTTGATGCATGTAATGAACTAAAGTTGATAACTTAAGGTTGGGTAAGGTTACACACACCTATAAATGCATGTTTAAGCTTCTAAGGACCCTTTGTCTTACTGAGATTTCTGTTTAGAGATCTCACCCCACGTTTGGGGCACATATTTCAGGTTTAGGTAATGCGGGGGTTGAGACCTCTAGCGACAGGAGGCCGGAGCTTAGCTGATTTATATGTTGTTTTGTGCTTATGTTGGATGCCGGATTATGCCTGTTGCTATTATGCTTTTAGTTTCATGTTATGTTATTGAATTGAGGCTGTTGTTGGGCTTTGTTGCCTTATTTGGTAAGCATGGGGATTGTCCTTGCCACATTTGATTATGTATCGTTGTTCAGTTTTGAGTTGTATAAACTATCAGAGTTGTCCGGCTTACGTGTTGTAGTGTCGTGACTAGAGACTCAGTTAATGATCTTATTTATGATATTAGGTTATTTAGTATAGATATCTGTCTTTTGCATTTACATACAGACAATGTTTTGGAAATGAATTAAGTAATTCAACTTGGTAATGATAATGACGTCATAATTGAAAAGAAAAAGAATATTCCGCATTTTTAATTAAGCGCGGCTTAATACGATGGCATGTTAACAAACCGGGTATACACGAGGTGTTACAAGGACTGAATAACACCACACGTACATTGCCAGAAATATGTTCCTAGTCTAGAGATACCGAGAATGAGCATTAGTGATCTATGGTAAGACTAACACGACTCAGCTACTTGCATGGAGATGCAAGGTAGAGTCCTCATGAGCTACAGACATGGAGATGTCTTAGCTGACTCGTGGGTGGACCTATTGGAGAATAGCTAGCACTGAAATGACCCACAAAGAGACACTACAAGGAAATCTCACAGATAGTATCAATAGGTAATGTCTCTTATTATTTGGGTGTGTCTTTCCTTAGACCTAACGTTGTCATTTAGACCTGTGCTCTGGAAGGCTTGCTTTGATTGTATATATTATTTGCCTAAAACTTTGAGACTCGTAGGTATACTCTTGGGCATGCCCTAAGGACTCTGGGCTAGTGTGACAAGCTGAAGGAATTTGTCAATCTCTGTGAGAGATTAGGTTATCCGTAGACCGGTGAAATCGGGATGATATTTACGGGACTCAGGAATCTATGCATAGTAAATGAGTCATGAGATGGACCGCTCTTTAGAGTCCGTAAATGAAGATTCCCTGTTTCGGCAAAAGCTAACCCTAGACCGCAGGGTTTGATACATTTTCCTTGACCTAGGTCAATGGGACGGATAACCGAGATGAAAAGACAATTTATACAGTAATCAAATAGGTATAACAGGTTGATCATTCGATAAAATTAAGGAAACCAATTAATTAAATTAATTAGCTGAAATTGGGGAAACCAATCAATTGGATTGATTGGACAAAATTAAGGAAATTACCCAATAAGATTGGGATTTGATGAGCGCGATGATTTGACCTAGTCTTAGGTAATGAGGTGCCACACACACACACAGATATATATATAGCCCCTATTCTTCCTTAATTTTTGTAACTCTTCTTCTCTAATTTTCTCCACTGAAACCTTAACCAACAAACACATCAGTGTGTCAGCTATCTCTCCCTTGGAATAACCAAAGGCACCGCCCAATCTCTGTTCTTCTCTTGAGTCTAGCAATCTTCATTGAAGGATATTGGGCATTCGAAGAAGCGTTCTTCTCTTACAAGATAACAAGGTGGTGTAGATTTTCATCGCAGGACTTGTGTTCTTCAAGTTTGAAGAATTGATCAAGAACGCATCTGATCATGAATAGTTATCCGAATAAAGGTATCAACTTTAAACCCCTAACATGTCTATTGTATGATTCATGGGTTGAATATGATTGAGGGTGGGCAAAGATTGCTTCTTCCGCACAAAATTTTAATTTTTCCCTCTTTTATGTTTATGGCCTACAAAAGGCTACTTTCATAAGATATAGAAGAAAGCTGAAGAGTTGGCACAAGGCAGTGTTGCAGAAACTCCCCAAAAAAGTGATGACACATCAGCACTTGTTGAAGGTGTTGACATTTTGGAGAAAATTGATAAAAGGCTGCACAAGATAGAAAAAAACCAACTGAAAATAAGAAAACTTATGATGAACAAGCTGAAGAAAATGGATAAATTTTTTTAGGTCAGTTAGGACTTCTCAATCCTACACCTCTAGCTTCTGATGTAGCAATGCCAATGCAACAAGGGAGTGATAATGAAGGACAAGAAGAAGAGATGGAAGAAGATGAGGTTGAGCAGAAAGATGACAATATGGAATAGAACCCTTCAGACCAAGAAGAGCAAGACGAAGACAAGTTCAAAACTTGTTTAATTTTGGCTTAAAAAGAAGGAAAAATCTAGGTTGTCTTGTTTTTCTCTTGTTCTCTTTCTTTTTGCCTATTAATATGTGTAACCCCCTGCATCACCATGAAAGTCAATGGAAAAGAGGAACATGCTTGTTACTTAGTTAGGATTTTAATTTGGTAAATTCACTTTTAAGTTTTGGATATGAATTAGGTTATCCATTACAACACTAAAATACTAAAAAGACTTGGAAAAAGCCTCAATAAAGAGTAACAAGAAGCTGAAAAAATAATGCTGCATCAGTAAGATAAAGTAGATTGCATCCTTAGCTATGCTATTTTGAACTTTTTGTTGTAGCAGGATGGCAGTAGTTATGTTGAGTGAGAGTAAGTTCTCTTCAACTTGAACTTAAAAGGCAAGCTGGGTATGAATTGAAGGTTGAATTAATCAAGGTAGAAAACAACTTGAATCATTGAACATTCAAGCACAAAGAATGAATTTGAAAGCAAGAGAAGCCCAAGGAGTGGATTTCAGATGAAGGCTTAGGATTCAATGTTTGGTGGATCTGAATCTTGCCGTAAGAGTAAGTTTTGAAGGCTATAAGGGTGAAAGAAGCCAAGCTAAAATAAGTGTAAAAGCACAAAGCAAAAAGGAAAGCCCCTCACCAAAAAAATTCAAAGTCAAAAGGAAAAAAATTAAAATAAGTGCCAATACAGATGGGCAAAGCCCACAAAAATAAAAGAGGGAGCCAAAGTTAAAAGCAAGCAAGGTGGACACTCGTTGCTTCAATTCTTTACACATGGGTTTTGATTCAAGTTTGACAAATTATGGATAAACAACTAGGCCTTATGATTCTTAGTTTGAAGCTCTCAAGTGCATCAAGCCAACAAAGAAGTTCTCCACACACACACACACACACACACACACACACACACACACACACACACACACACACACACATAATATTCCAGAAGCAAGAAGCCAGGGAAGTTAGGCTAACTAGGAGTACCAAAGTTGAAGTGTAAGCTCCAAGGTTGAGAAGCAACTCTCACATGTATATTGCTGTTGGAATACTACACCAGAACTGCTCATATCAGTAATAGTCATTGCTGTAATTATGTTACTGAATTTATGCAAATCAATTAATTATTTTCTTTTTTGTTACTCGATGACAAGCGACATTTTAAGTTTGGAGTGTGTTAACTCTCCCAAAATAGAGTTACTTTCGTATTTTTATGATGAATTTGCTGCATAAGTCCATAGAAGTTGTCTTATTTGCATGATAATTGAGCTAGTTATTGCATATTCATGATTAAGTTCTTTGAAATGACTAAGTATGGAAAATGAGACAATATTCTTTGTTTTTTTTTGTAAGAATAGATGATTTGTTGAGTATTTTACTTTGCAAAAAAAGTTGATGTCCGAGTGCTGTAGCAGAGAAGCTGACGACGAGTGAAGTAATAATATAGCAATCGAGACGACAATACAACAAGGACGAGGGAACAATTCAAATTCAAATTTTAAAAGTTAGTTATGCTCCCAACAAAAGGATATTGCACTAGCAAACAAGGGATAAAGAATTTTTTGAAGATCAAATCATATTTCAAATCCTAACAATCAACGATGGTAAGCTCTTATCTTATGTTGTTCCATTTAACATCACCAACAACAATCATACATTATATGTATTATGTGGAAATATTAATATTTATATCTCAATAAAGAAGAAGATTGAAATAAACGGTTAAAAAAAATAAAATTCTAATTTGATTTGAAGAAAAAGATAATAATATTTTCCTACAAGATAAAGATAACTTTATTTTCTATTTTCACATGAAAATAGATGGATTCAATATTTTTTTCTTTCTTTTTCTTTTTTCTTATAGATATGTAAGTACATGAGATAAAATTATTTTCATATTGTAAGAAAAAAACATTAATCCTTTTAAAAAAATTAAGTTAACCAAAAAAAAAATAGAAAAAAAATTGTTAAAGGAATATAGTAAGCATATTGGAGAAGAAAACTAATATAGTAACATGTTATTCAACACATAAATTTTTATAAATGCTACTAATAAGTGATGTGACATTAATCAAGTAAAAAAAAAAAATGAAACCATTAAAGAAAAAAAAGTGAAAAAGGTAGCGATAAAAATAATTCCTCACAAAACACTTAATAAAAATAAACAAAGTGCTTATATAATTTTACGTTTCATGAGAGATAAAATTTTATGTCATAGACATATAACGATGAAGCCACCATCTAAAACATAAAATAAAAAAAAACAAAGAAAAAATTATATCACTTTTTCCCGTAAATAAAAAAATTATATAAGAAAAAAAAGTGAAAAACTTAATTCATGTAACATAAAAACAATTTTTCCCATAAATAAATTACTTTTCACAATATTTATAATTTTTCAAACAATAATAGTCTGTAGGTCAGTCAGCAGCAGTGAAGGGTGCATATGAGCTAACGTTATCATTACAAACCAAGCATTTGATGATTTTGGAATAGCAACGGAAATTCGCATTTTGCTTACTGTTAAACTTAAACATCTGCTCTTCCTGTGTTGGTTCATTTCCTTCTCTCTCTCACTCTCATTCTCAAAGTGGTTGCTCGTGAATCCGATCCGATCCGATCCGATTCGATCTGGGTTTGTTTTTCTGGTGCGGTAGGCAATGGAAGAATACCCAGAAGAGTTACGCACTCCTCCTATTACACTAACATCAATTGTTGGGTGCCCCGAACTTCACCCGTTAATTTCGACCCATCTTTTGTCGGAGCAACCACCCATTAACACCCTCGCCCTCCCCGATTTGTCTAAAATCAACGTTTTCCAGAAGAAGAGGGATCCCGATTCCATCACCGCCACGGCCACCACACCCTCTCCCGTTGTTGGCGGCATCTTGAAGCGAGATTGGTTGCTCAAACATCGCACCAAGATCCCCGCCGTCGTTGCCGCACTTTTTCCGGCGGAACACGTCTTTGGTGACCCCGCTCAGTGGCTTCAAGTCTGCTCCGATCTCGATTCAATCAAGACCGTGATTCGTGCCAGGAACATCAAGTTCGCGGTAGTAATCGTCAACGCTAACGCACACGGTAAGCTTCCTAGTGCACATGTAGGTCACGTGTTCGATTCATGTACTCAACCACTTGCACTTGCAAATATGCACATTTTATTGAGGGAAAAAGAAGAAGAAGCACATTATTGTTATTGTTATTATTCTTTTAATGCTGTTAAGAGCTGTAGGGGGTAGTTATATGTTGAAGGTGTTGTTTGGTTGTAGATGAGATCAGTGAAGATAAAATGATTGCCTTGAGGAAACGAGCAGAAGTAGATGCTAAATATGTTGTTATGTTAAACCCAAATGATAGTTCAGAACTCCAACAGTCTCTCAACAGGCATGTACTATTTTTTCTTTTTTTTCTAAAACTTGTATTGTATCCGTTTTCTCTTTAAACAACAATGTTGTCATTATGTAAGTATTCTACTTTTTTTTTTTTTTTTTTTCTTTTGGTGCAGGCTGGCAAGTACGTTTTCTGAATTAGCCAGTACATATTACAGAGAAGAAGGAAGAAGGATTAAACAGCGGATAGAAAAGAAGAATGTCAGCTCGGTTGAGTTGATTGTTCGCTACTGCTTCAAAGTAGGGATTTGTATTTTTCTTGTTTGATTTTAGTTACTGTTCTTTGTAAATATGCAAGGGTAAAGTTACGTATAAGCTAGTCAGTGTTTAATGGGGAGTGATTTTTAGTTACTACTCTACTAATATGCCAATCTATATCCTTTCTAATCTTTCTCTGGTCATATTTGTTTCAGCAGAGGTGTAGCATCTCATTTCTAGTCATTTTTAGAAGCAGTAGATTTTATAAAAAAATAAAAAATAAAAAATTAGAAGTAGTAGACATTGGAATTACATTGATCATGATCTATGATCGCATATGCTTTTTTGCCTTTCTTATGCCATTTATTGTATATGAACTTGTACAAGTGTGCATTACTTATATTTCTATCAAAATAAAAAAATTTGCTTTATTTATCTAGATGCCATGAATTGCTAGGTTGCTGTATATGCAGAATTCCGAAGTGACTGGGCTGAAGCATTGAAATTTTATGAGGAGGCCTATCATACACTGCGTGAGGTATGTGTAGATATTTTTAATTTTTTGTGTTTTATTTATCTAATTTTGCTTAAGCATTGATGAAGTGCTATTATTGGTGCTATATGTCCCTCCTCTGTCTATTGGTTGAGTCAACTAACAAAAGAAAAACCTATCATTATGCCTAATATTTTGCTCTTAGAAGTCAGAGCCTTCTAAGGAGCAGTTTCTCACATCCTCCAAGAGCATCTGTAGCATCTGATTTTGTACTTATGTTTACCAGAGGCAATTTGATAGAAAATCACTCATTACTAGGGTGTATACTTGGAAGGGGTGTATAGGTGGGGTTTCTCTCCTATGCTGACCTTTATAACTAATTTTTGTGGAAGGAGATTTAGGGTCTCTTTTATGGTTATAAGGTTGCTTAATAGAATATATGGGGGTAATAGTGGAAGAGGAGGGGTATCTTTTGTATTGGGCTATTGGTATGTGATACGATCCGGTCCAAGACCATGTATGTACATGAAGGATTAAAATGAAAGAATGTGGGCCTGACTTTTGCTGACTCAGCAAATCAGTTACAACAGAATGGTTGGGGAGGAAGTGGTTAAGTAGTGTGAGGAATGCTGGGAGGGGTATCACGATTCTATATTGGGTTTGGAACTTTGGGAGAGAGTGGAGCCTCTCTAAGCGCTCCACACTACTTCTTTTCTTGTCAATTTCCTTCTGTTTTCTATTTCAATGTCCAGTGTATTTCTTCCTTGTAATGTTTGGATTGTGTAGAGTTGTCTCAGTTTCTTAGCTCTGTAATTAAGTATACCAGTAATACCAGATTTCAGAGACCTCTTTTGTGTTGAATCTTATTGTATTGGTTGGGTCTTTATCAGTATGGTTTTGGGGGAGTCTAGAGTCTCTCGAATACTCTGGGATTACATTTTCTTTTTCCTTGTATTTTGTTTTTCTCCTTAATTTTACTGTTCTTTGTATGAATTTTCCATTACAGTAATATAAATCCCAGCATTTTCCTCTGTTCCTTGTCTTTAACTCTTTTAATCTCAGGCTGGATCTTAACACAATTCTACTTGAATATGCCTTAATTGTCTTAGACTTGGGGAATCTTTTAGTCTCTCCTATGATTTCCTCAATGATTGAATAAAGTTGCATGTATTCAAACTTTTGTATGTTTGTGTGATTATTATATCTGTCTCCAAAACGCTAAATTTTGTCACATGCATTTTCTGTTTATATTACTCTACAGATTGTTGGGGTAACAACAAGGTTACCAGCAGTACAACGCTTAGTTGAGATAAAATCTATTTCCGAACAGTTGCATTTCAAGATATCAACCTTGTTACTGCATAGTGGGAAGGTTACAGAAGCAGTGTCGTGGTTCCGCCAGCACAAGAATGCATATAAAAGGCTTGTTGGTGCACCAGAAGCAATATTTCTTCATTGGGAGTGGATGAGTAGGCAGTTTTTGGTATTTGGAGAACTGCTGGAGACAAGTTCGAAAACCACTCAAAGCTTTTCGCCTGTTATTCTAGGCTCTTCATCCAAACCTCTGTCTGAGTGGGAATATTACCCTGCTTATTACTACCAAGTGAGCACCCCTCTTTAACTATCTAACTTGTATCATACTGCGCATGTTGAGAAAAGCTACTGACTAGAGCACTTTTGTTAGTTTCCATAACATAGCTTAAAAGTACAGAGATTTCAATTCTATTTTGGAACTTTCATTTTTGTAAAAGACCCAAAAGTAAAATCCATGCATGATGGTAGTATTGGAATAATGATACTAATTATTATATTGATGGTTTTGAGATGGTTAGTTCTATAACAGTATTCAAAATGTAAAGTGTATGACCTTTTATTTAAAAGGAAAATAGAAGTGGGCAATAGATACCTTGATGATATCTTTTTATAGTTTGTTTTTGTCATCTTTGGTTTATTATACTCTACTAAAAGTTCAAACTAATATTTTGATTAATAAAACTATCCAATAAAAGGCCATTTTTATCTTCATAACAAAATTTTGATGGAGTAAGAGTTCTTGTGTGGTTATTGAACAGATTGGAATTCCTCTCCACGAATCTCTTAGGTCTGTCAAGGCCCACCTTTATAGTTTATACCAGATTGGGGAAACTAAATAAGTAGAGACATAGACACATAGCTAATCTAATAGGTTTATGTTTTTTATGGAGGAAATAGATACCTCTAAGTTTGCTTTACCTAATATCAATAAATCTGTTTCATTAGAGCATATATAATGGACTTCATATGTACATAGAAACAAAAATAACAATCTAGCCTTATATCATTGTGCTCTACAAAAAACAAAATTTCGGAATATCCATTTTGATCAATGTAACACCCCGTCTGCAGCCGGTGAGTTAACCTACATATGGTACACTAGTGCTCTACAAATAATGAAATAAGCGGAAGGCTTAACATGCGTATTTATTCTAGTTATGGCAAAAATACGAATAAACTTTTTCTTTTATCCTATTAATATTCTGATTTACCTTACATTAACAATTTAATGCATTACCTATTATTCCCCGCATTGCCACGTACAAAACTTAATTCCAAATATTATGATTTGCACAGTCCCATACCTGTACAATTTTCTTGAACGGTCTACCTATGTCTATTCTATTTATATATGTACTAGACAAATATATTCCATTCAAATATGACCATAGAGACCATTCTGAACAGAAACCTACGGATAACATAATGGCTGTAATTCGGAGAAATCCAAATTCCTGTAATACAGACAATTTACACAAAACATAAATAAACATTATCAAAACTTTGAATTCATGGATGAATTCACACAGAATCTGACTCATGTCAGTCCTAAACACAATTAAACCTGCGAATCTTAAATTGCAACAAATACAATACATACTGAATTACCTCGTATACCGAACTATGGCTTAAAGCCAATACACAAATACATACAGAAATTCATAACTTCATTACAGATAATCAAAGTAAAGGCTAGACATGCCTCTCAAAAAGATAACAGCTGACAACATGCATGGATACTACACATGCCTCAAAAAGTATATACATATAAACACAGATCAAAATACAAAATCCAGCTCCAACACTAGCCACTCTGCACAGGCCTCTTGCCCTGAGATGACTGATCAACAACTGTTGGAATACCTGAAATATATCCCCACAACACGGGGTGAGAAATAAATCTCGTGATCTCAGGGTTTATGGAGAAGTCTCCACCTATGAGTTCACTTTCCTACATGAAAGGTCAGATATAATCACAGAATAATATCAGACTACTCGTCTGCACAGATAACTCCAGGAATTAAATCTCAAGAGCAACTAGAGCCAACCAGTTCAGGTGCACTCATGGTGTAAAAAAACCTTGGGATACACCACCCCAAAAGCTAGCTCAAAGGGTGGGAGTGCCCAAGGCCTTATAAACTCCACATTAGTTGCTCTTGAACCAATGTGGGACTATATATCTCAACACGTCCCCTCACGCAGGAGCCCTCTTGGCTTGAAGCGTGGATTATGCAACAGGCTCAATCTTTGGTTTACCTTTTTTGTGCTTCCACTTTAAAGTGGGGGGCGGTGAGGATCGAACCTCAAGCTCCGATACCATGTAAAAGAACCTTGGGATACACCACCCCAAAAGCTAGCTCAAAGGGTGGGAGTGCCCAAGGCCTTATAAACTCCACATTAGTTGCTCTTCAACCAATGTGAGACTATATATCTCAACACATGGCCTATCTGAATATGTTCATTGTACAAGAACCAATATATCACAACTCATATCACATCAAATCATGTTATCATCTATATGAATGCAACTACACTATATATCCGACTACCACAAAACACAAACATACAGATATACCTCCAAGATTATGAAATCCTGGTAGAACAAACAAAGAGGAAGAATCCTCCTAAACCAAAAGCTTACCTCTTGTAGCTCCTAGCAAGCTTACTTGTACAACAAGTAATCAAGTCAAATCCTCCGAACACTGATCAGGAATCACTGTATCTCCAGATTCACACCTTTACCCAGATATACATCAAATTTGACATACACACAACAACTTGTAACACATATCTTGTCCAATCTGCATTACACTCTTTACAAATTCATTCTTAACAATTCATGCCCATGCCACAAGTCAACCTATCTTTAAACTTGATATTATGTTACACCTACAACCAAACATTACCAGTTTGAGACTTGATCATTCAAACTTACTTAAACACTCTTTTAAGTTTCTACGGTTTAATTATCAAATAACTTTAATTCCAACCAAATGATCTCAATATGGCCGAATGTTAACCATCACATTCACACACATTTTCATGCTTCTCATTCATCATTCTTTACTCCACATTAACATTTACTCATGCATCAAAACATATACTTGAACTTGAGCTTTCAAATCATTGATTTTATATACTTTAAGTGTCAAATTACTTTCATAAGTTCAAACACTTAAACCAACCATTCAATTACACTTTATTATACACCAAATGCATATAACATCATTCAAAATAAATTATACAACATGGATACCCAATTAGTCACAAATGGCCGAAACATACATATTGTATTTTCATGATTTTCATGCATTCAAGCTTTAATCCAATGACACCACACCATCATATACACATTGAATTCATGCTGCAAACATTCAATTGATCATTTTGCATACAAACCCTAATTTAACTAGGTTTGGCCGAATTGAATGCTTAGTAAATAACTTAGGAATTCTTTGTATTTTAAGCATACAATTCATTAACAAATCATCATCAATCATATATCAACACACCATTATCATACATTTAGTATGCATAGTCAAATTTACAACTTGGACATCAACACTTTGCATGCATTTTTCTTAACATATAAACCATTAATTAAACATTAAATCATCAATTAAACATCACACCACATCAATTAACATGTAAGCATCATCAAACCATATCAAACCCTAATTTACTATTCATGGCCGAATTTGAAAGGTTAGGGTTATGTTTGATTCTTGCAATTTTTCAAGAATTCAAGATGTTATCTTTGATTTACAAGATTAAACAACCAATTCCAAAACAAAACCACTTCAAAATTCATCATCAACATACATAGAAATTCATGTTGAACACAAGAACACAAATATTCATAAATCATCATCAAATCAACAAAGTTGCTAGCAATTACCTTGTATAGCTTCCTTTAGGTAACCCTAAGCTTTTTCCAACATAAAAACCAAATAAAACTCGTCCAAAACACCAAAGTGCAGCAGCCATGTTCAACCTTTAGGAGGGATTATCTCACTCAATACAAGGCCAGAAGGTGTATGGTTTTAGGGCTTTTACTCACAAGCTCACAAGGAATCTTTTTCATGTTGAAACTTTCTTGAAATTATGACTAGAAATCAAGTTCTCTCAAACTCTCACTCACCATGGATGCTACGGTCATGGAGGATAAGAAGAAGAGATGTTTTGTGTGTCTTGAAGAAAGAATAGGAAGATGACAAATGGTTTGAAATTAAAAGGTTTAAAGCTTTAGTTTTTATGACTTTTTCACCTTTTTAACTTAGATATTTTTATCAAACTTTAACCAAACTTTCAAGACAAGCTAAGCATCATTCCCATCATATTTTGCACCGTGGAAATGGTTCCAAAAGAGCTAGGAACCGACTTGGTCTTATGGAGAAAAAATAACACACAATTTTGACCTTTTCAAAGTATAAAGTAACTTGATTTTCATTGGTTTTCACTTTACACATCACACCCTTGAATTTTTGACCAACCAATCATACAATAACATAATTACACATCACATATAGCATAGAAAGCAAGACATTCATCTTTGACCAAAGATTAAGCCTAGGTATAAAGTTAAAGCTTACTTTTTAAACTAGTTGACTTTTTAATTAATCAATCTTTGACCTATTTATTTAAATTATTCTACACATCATTTAATTAATTTAAACACATATACAAACCTTAGAATTTACCAGAGAATTTAACTAGACTGTCAGAACTCAGTTCAGACCTAGATTGCAAAATTACCAAAATACCCCCATTACACAACTTATGTATTTTTGTCTCTAAACACAACTTATGTTTTTTTTAGGTTCTAATTGACTTGTTAGGCATGAATTGTATCCTTACATCCATTATCATGATAGTTTCATGATTCAACTGACAGAATTCCCTTAACAGACACAGAATTTACACACTGTCTCACGTAACTGTCAATTTCAAACAATTTGAGAATTAGGGTTGTTATAATCAAGGTATTTTATTGGTTTCTCCTAAAGTTTTCTTTTGTCTCCCTCTATGTCCTTTGATCGAACTATCTTCTATATGATCCACTTTTCTCATAACAGCCTTTTTTGTTCTTCTACTTAATGGCCAAATCAACTTAAGGGAGTTTCTATCATCTTCTCAATACCTGCTACATCCATCTTTCTTTTGAATACATTCACTCCTGATCTTAATTATTATTATTATTATTTTTATATATGCACTCATCCACCACAATAGTCTAACCTCTGCTACTCTTATTTGTTATTGTAAAGAACCAATTCAACCCAAAAGCTTAAGTTGTTGGGTGAGGCTATATTAATGGTTTTATATATCTCAACACGCCCCCTCACACGAGAGCTCACTGGGCTTGAAGGGTGAACAATGCACAGACCCACCTATTTGTGCTAAGAAATTCCACAAGAGAAAGTGGGGGCGGTGAGGATCGAACCCGGGACACGAGGCTCCGATACTATGTAAAGAACCAATTCAACCCAAAGCTTAAGTTGTTGGGTGAGGCTATATTAATGGTTTTATATATCTCAACAGTTATGTAAATCTACTCTGGAACACCCGTCCTTTTCCCTCAATGTTTAGCAGTAATTGCCACATTGGAAAGAGGGCACTGAGTTACATGAGTTGAAACTGATCGAACCCGGGACACGAGGCTCTGATACCATGTAAAAACCCTTGGGATAAAACCTTGGGATACACCATGGTATCAGAAAGAACCATGGTATCAGAGCCTCGCCGCCCCCCACTTTCTCTTGTGGACTTTCTTAGCACAGGTAGGCTGGGCCTGTTGCATCTTCCACTCTTCAAGCCCAATGGGCTCTCGTGTGTGGGGGCGTGTTGAGATATATAGTCCCACATTGGTTGTATGAGCAACTAATGTGGAGTTTATAAGGATCTGGGCACTCCCACCCTTTGAGCTAGCTTTTAGGGTGGTGTATCCCAAGGTTCTTTACATGGTATCAGAGCCTCGCCTTCTTCTGGACTCCTCTCATTTATTTTTTTAGCATTTATATGCGTGGTATATATATATATATATAACAGGTTCGGTTCATGCATAGGACTCCGCTATCACGCTACCGCTACCTGCAATAGCGCTATATCGTTTTCTGTGGTCGGCCTCTACTGGCTGCTACCTGCGTTTGATAACTATGAATATTTCTAAATTTCATTATTTATTAATAAAAAGATGTATTTATAAAAATGCATTATAATTAATCTTTTCATAAACTCTCCTCTCCTGTCCCTTGTTCATTTTGAACATCAAAACAAGAGAAAGTAATTGTCTTTTTGTCCCTTCCTGTTTCCCTCTAATTTCTTTTCTTTCCCTCCCTATTCCACAATCTACACCAAGTTCTTTTCTGTTGGTCTTAGCTATTATCCTTATGTTCACTTTTTTTTTTTTTTCCTTTATTGTTTTTCTGTCATAATTTGTATTGGGCATTGGTATTGCATTTGGCTCTTTTCACATACTAATCAACCTCCAAATTAAAACCCTTCACATCTTGTTATCCGGGACTCTGCTGTGAGTGTCTCACCCTGCCTTGGCAACATGCGCGCACACATTTATGTTTTTGCAACTTTCATATGAGTGTTTCTATGAAAGTCTAATAATTTGTTATCTATACCTGTCTGAGCATGCAAAGTTGTTTCATGAATCCGTTCATGTGTTTCTTATATAAACTCTACTGGGTTATCCTGATTTGTCCCTGTGAAACAGTTAGCAGCTCACTACTTGAGTGAGAAGAGATCAACACTGGAACTTGCAATCTCAATGTCAGAAACTTTCAATGCGATTGATAGTGGTGCTGATTCAGTAGTTCCTTCAGTGTATGCGGGTCAGTTTGCTCGGTTACTTGAGCAAGGTGATAATGTTGATATGCTACCGTAAGTCTTATTTGAGTGGTAAATAATTTAATGTTCTGATATGTATCATATTTTAAATTATTGATTTTCATTTGGATTTGCAGTCTCAGTGATGAAGAGTACACGCGCTATGCTGTTTCTGAAGGAAGAAGGTTCCGAGATTCACTTGAAATTATTGCTCTTCTAAAAAAAGCCTATGAATCCTACAGTAGTATTAAAATTCAGAGGATGAGCTCTTTTTGCGGGTTCCAGATGGCCAAAGAATATTTTTCTGAAGGCGATACTGGTAACGCAAAACAGATTTTTGATAGTATTGCTACCCTATACAGAAAAGAGGGATGGGTAACTTTGTTATGGGATGTCTTGGGTTACTTGCGTGAGTGCTCACGGAAAAATGGTACTGTTAAAGACTTTGTGGAGTATTCCCTTGAAATGGCTGCACTGCCAATTTCATCTGATACTGTTGTTCAGAGAAACACTGGTCCAGCTAGTCCTGCAAATCTACTGCAAAGAGAAATTGTACACAAGGAGGTTTTTGAGCTTGTCAGTGAAGCTTCAGGGTTGGCAACAAACGAACATCCTAGTAATCTCATGATCAGTGGAGATGAATCACTTCAGCTTGAGGTTGATGTTGTCAGTCCTCTTAGGTTTGTGATGCTTGCATCAGTTGCTTTCCATGAACAGAAGATCAAGCCTGGAGCATCAACCTTGGTTACAGTGTCACTTCTTTCCCACTTACCACTAATGGTGGAGATTGATCGATTAGAAATCCAGTTCAACCAATCTGATTGTAATTTCTTCATTGCAAATGCCCGAAAACCTCAATCAGTAGAAGTTAGTGGTATTCAACAGCACCGAATGGAGACAGCCCCTTCTCTTTCCCTTGAATCAAACAAATGGCTAAGGTTGACCTATGACATCAAATCTGGTAAGTTAGATACTCTTGGCAAACTTCACTTTTCCAATTGGCTGTCAAGTTCAATCTCAATGCACCTTCAAATGTTTCTAAAACCAAGTAACCGGGAATGGTACATTTCGAACATTCTATGTTTTTTTATCCCCCTCGCCCAAATATTTTTTGTGATCATTAATTTATGTTGTTTATGTTCCCTGTGGCTATAAATGTGACTGGTTATATTGCATAACCAACATCTATTTAAGTGTATAACAATGGGATGATTGCTTATTTATGAATCATTCAAAATGCTGTGATATTTCTTCCAAAATTGGTATGGATTTATCAGACTCCTCTTTCTACAAGATCTGTCCATTATCTTGGTTCAAAAGTATGATTTATGCATAACTAATTTAGTGTCCAAATTGACGCCTGCATATCTATTACCAGTAGAAGTATTGCTTTCACTGTAGCCGTTTTTTTGTCAATTGTGATTTGAGACATCAGACACTATGGTTTTTCAGATCAAAGTGGAAAACTTGAATGCCTGTCTGTTATTGCAAAAATTGGATCACACTTCACAATCTGTTGCAGAGCTGAAAGCCCTGCTTCACTGGATAGTTTATCTCTTTGGACTTTGGAGGATTGTGTACAAACTGTTCCAATAAAAGATCCAATTCTTGTTTACTCTGGTCAGAAGTCTGTCCAAGTTGAAGAACCAGACCCACAGGTAGATCTGTGCCTTGGTGCCTCCGGTCCTGCTTTAGTGGGAGAGATTTTCTTGGTACCTGTAACATTGGTTTCGAAAGGCCATGATGTCTACTCAGGTGAATTGAAGATCAATCTTGTGGATGTGAGGGGAGATGGCTTGTTTAGTCCGAGAGACTCAGAGCCATACTCTATGAATAATCATCATGTGGAGTTGCTTGGTATATCTGGACCAGAAGGGGAAGATGATTCTCAATTAGATTCTGACAAAATAAAGAAAATACAGCAATCATTTGGACTAATTTCTGTTCCCTTTCTTAAAAATGGAGACTCCTGGTCGTGCAAATTAGAAATCAAGTGGCACCGACCTAAACCTATTATGCTTTATGTATCTTTAGGTTATACTCCATATAATGATGAATTAAATTCACAGATGGTCCATGTCCATAAGAACTTGCAAATTGAAGGGCACACTGCTATTGTCCTTAACCATCATTATTTGATGCCATTCAGACGAGACCCGTTGTTACTCTCTAAGGACAAGCAAGCCTCGGAGTCTGATCAGTCAGAATCACTGCCCTTAAACCAAAAAACTGTACTTATTGTTAGTGCAAAGAACAGCACTGAGTTGCCACTAAGGTTAAAGTCCATTTCCATAGCAGTAGAGGATGATGTTGAAAGGACGTGCTCTATTCAACATGGGAATGAGGAGTTTTCAGACCCAGCCCTTCTTGTTCCTGGGGAAGAGTTCAAGAAGGTGTTCTCAGTCAATTCCAATATGAACATTCCAAAACTCAGACCAGGAACTGTTTGTTTGAGATGGAGGAGGGACTTTGGGGTTCAAGAGCAATCTGCTTCTACTACCACAACATTGTCTTGGGTTGTGACTAAACAAAAGCTGCCTGATATGAATGTGGAGATACCACCGTTGATTGTGAGTTTTGAATGCCCCCCTTATGCCATACTTGGAGATCCCTTCACATACTATATTAGAATTTTGAACCAGACACAATTACTGCAAGAAGTTAAATACTCACTGGCAGACGCACAAAGTTTTGTATTATCTGGGTATCATAATGACACTATATATGTTCTTCCAAAATCCGAGCACATTCTAAGTTACAAACTTGTCCCACTTGCTTCAGGCATGCAACAGTTACCTAGATTTTCTATGACTTCACTGAGATACTCAGCAGCATATCAACCATCAAATTCTTCAAATTCTGTTTTTGTTTTCCCTTCCAAGCCTCATTTCAAGACTGCAGCCTCAACCAACTTTAGGGTGGAGTCAGTTGCTAATGAATAAATCTTGTACATGGCAAATTTCTTTTCATTTAATTTTGTTTCCCATTCTCTTGTAACCATTCCCCCAAGGTTTGGGGGAGACTACATATTTTACATGGAAAAACTGCATACATGGTATTTTTTCGATTCCTTGTTGCTAGTTTATTATCGAGTGATTTAGTATTAACACTTATTATGTTCTTTATTAGTTGTACAGTAACACTCTAAAGTAATGCATTTAAGACTAACATCTGACTGATTTTGCATTAAATAATTTTGGTGTTAGATTTTTCCAAAGCACTAGTGCAAATATTTACTCGTAAATTTCGTAGTTTTTCTTATCCATTTAATATTTACACGTTATGGGTATTTTGAAGCAGAAAATGGTGATACTCACGGCAGTGTTTGGTGGCTCGAATCAAATTCCATCAATGGTGTGAAATATGACATGAGATTGATGAGCAGATTTATTATAATGATCTGTCGATGAGGGCGAGACTGTGAGGAAGTAGCTATATCATTTGTGCAGCGCCTGAAAATATTTTACAGCCCCTCGGCGTATGATTTCCTTATTTAAAATCCTTTTGGGTGTAAATAAGAAAAAGGGTATGTTTAAAAAAGAGTTGTACTAATTTTAATTTTTTCTTTAGTTTTGCTTGAAATTCCCAAAATATTCCTATTCTCCTACTTTAGCTTTATTTTCCAAGGAGATTATTTCTGTCTTTTCGCAGCTTGGGTCAAGTCAAAGTCACCCACCCCCATCCCTTTGATCATGCCTGCGCAAATTTTCATTGAACATTGACTATTCATCACCCACTTCGTCATGCTTCATATCACAAGCTTCATCTCCTTTCCGTAAGTAAAAGAATATCACCATAATCAGAACCCATCACTTCATCCTATACCTCTTAGCCATTCCCTTTCACCCTTCCCAAAATTTCTATCTGAGGGGCCACTGCAATTGAGAAAAAATTCAGAGCTCCCGGTCCACGTGCTCCTTCGTTCAAGAAATTGACATTTGCAAATTTTATCTTTTTTCTCTTTTCTCTGTACGTTACTCTCGTCGTTATCCCATTCTTATTGGCTTGGCCCACTGATTGATTCATGCGCCAAAACCGTTGAAATTTTTTTCATTGAAATTGGTCTATGAACGTAAGAACTAAAAGAAAATTAGGGCCCACAATGATCAGCCCAAATAATCCGTAGATCTAATAGTAATGATAGCCAAGGAGTAACATAAAAAGAAAGAAAAAAGGTTGTTATAAGGGATTCCATGTGGCAAGCATTGAATGGAGAAGAGAATGTGGGAGGGAAAAATAATGTGAAGTTAGTTATAAGTGGGGTGAATGGGGATGTGGAGAAAGGACAAAGAATTGAGTAGAATCATGGGAAGGGAGAGGCTCGATGAGGAATAGGATATTTTTTTTGTTGAGGTGCTGAGTTAAGGGTGTTTATGCTTGGTTTGTTGTTTTCTTTATTAGGAGTACTTGTATTTTCCTTTAGTGCATTTATTTTTTCATGTTAATACTTGGCTTAAGGCCCTCATACTGCTCATTTAATTTGGATATAGTATTTTCAGTACTAGTTGTTAGGAATCTGGTTGTAAGGGGCCACTTTACTAGAAAATTACTTGATATTAATACTATTGTTATTGTTCTTATTTTTTTTTGGTGCCATTAATTGGTAACACTACTCTAGATCCTGAGAGAGCTTTGGATGGTTGGATCGAGAATGGAAGTAAGGGTGAAAGAGATTGAGCAAAGATTGGGTCAAATTGAGAATGGTACCACAGGTTTAACAGGCTTTTGGAGGGAATCGAACTCTCTATCCATCATTTAAATACACCATTCATGGAATTTTTAGATTGAATAGGTTAGAGGAATGAGAGGTATGAAAATGGGAACCAATGAGGGGGAAACAGTGATGGTTACGCTCGAATGTAAGAGAATTGCAGAGAGGAGGAACAAAGGAGAAGGGTAGAGGTCCCTTACTTTGCTAGGGACGATCCTTATGAGGGGTTTTACAGAGCAAAGAGATACTTTTGAATTAATAGAATTTCAGCTAGAGAGCAAGTTGAGACAACCTTAATTTGTTTAGAAGGAAGGGCGCTTAATTGGTTCCATTGGTGGGAACAGAGGAATCCAATCATTATGTGGCCTGACTTTCAATCAGCGATTTTGCAATGCTTTCATTCATCTTTCCCTAGAAGCCCATACGAGGCACTTTTGTGCCTTCATTAGACTGGCACAGTTGCAGAATATAGAGAAAGTTTTGAGCTCCTATCAACACCGCTTAGACATGCAAATGAGGAGATGTTGCAGGTGGCGTTTCTCAATGGGTTGAAGGAAGAAATTCGTGTAGAAATCCAACTCATGATTTGACTGAACTAGGGAGAAAGATGATGCTGGCTCAACAGGTAGAAGAGAGGAAAGCTGTCCAAAGCTAGGTTGGGGGCCCAAATGGGCAAATGGGGAATGGGTCCATGTTAGGGGGCATTATACACGCCCAACTCTTCCAAATAGGAAATGTAGACACAAGGCCCAATACTTTAGGTTCGAAGACACGAAATGAGCCACCAACTTTGGGCCCACTCCAACCCTCTTTGAATGGCAATCAAACAAGCCAGGGGGGTCTTCTGTAAACCAATTAAATAACACAACATCAGCAAGCGAAGGAAATTGAAGTATTGTTGGCCGAAACACTAACATCAATGAGGGTACATGAGGGGCAAGGTTCAAGCTCCCAACACCGAAGGAGATGAACGGCAAATGATAGAGAAACATGTGTTTCAGATGCTATGCCCCTTATTCGCAGGAGCATGTATGTCAACAGTCGCACCCCTACGTGATGTTAGTAGGGACCGATGGGCTTGAAACCCATGGCAAAGAAGAGTTGATCACTAAAGTGAGCCCATAATTGAGTGAAGCACTGCAGTTGAGCATCCATAGCATTGCGGGGCTCACTTCCAACAAGTCATTAAAGCTGTGGGAAGGGATTTATGGCCGAAGGATGGTAGTGAAAGATTTTATTTTATGCCAACTAGGAGGTATAGATGTAATTCTGGGATATTCATGACTGGAAGGGTTGGGGGAGATTGAAGCTAATTTTAAGGAACTGGTCTTGCAGGTACCAATGAGGAAAGCAGTGGTTGAGATTCGTGGGGACCCTACTCTATCAAAGGGAAAATTTTCTTTCAAAGGGTTGAGCAAGGTGTGGAAAAAGGTTATGGAAAGTTATTATGTGGAATTGGGATATTTAGAGTCGAATGTGGCACAGGCTCAGGAACCAACAATGGCGGTCTCCTATGTCCTACAAATTTTTTTTGATGTCTTTAAGGAACCCACGGGTCTACTCCCTACTAGATCCTGTGATCATCAAATTCTTCTGAAGGAGGAAGCAAGCATTCTTAATATTCAACTATATCGATATTTCTATTATTAGAAAGAGGAGATGGAAAAGTTTATCAGTGAGATGTTGGCAGCATGGTGGAGTTGTCCTAGCACCAGCCTTTATTCAAACCCAATGATTTTTGTCAAGAACAAAGATGGAAGCTAGAGATTCAGTGTAGATTACAAAGTACTGAATCACGTAACTATTCCAGACAAATTTCCCTGACCAGTTATTGATGAATTATTGGACCAATTAGGAGGTGCTTCAATTTTCTCTAAGCTGGACTTGAAGTCTGGCTACCATCAGATAAGGATGTGAGAGGAAGATATTAGGAAGACAACCTTTCGCACCTATGAAGGACATTACCAATATATAGCGATGCATTTGGGCTGCGTAATGCCCCTTCGACCTTTCAAGAACTAATGAATGAGATATTCAAGCCATTTTAACACAAGTTCGTATTAGTTTTCTTTGATGATATTTTTATTTACAACAAGGATGAACATGAACATTTAATTCGACTTAGTCAAGTGCTGGAGGTACTAAAGCATAATCAATTCTAGGCTAACTACAAAAAAATGCAGTTTTGCTAAGAAGTTGCACTATTTGGGTCACGTTATTTCCAGTTTTGATTAAAAGAAGATCTTGCAAAGGTCAAAGAAGTTAGGACTTGGTCAATACCTCGGAATTTAAAGGGGCTTAGAGGATTTCTTGGGCTGACTGGATATTACATATGATTTGTCAAGCAATACGGACAAAAGGCTAGGCCATTTACCTAGCTGTTAAAAAAAAAAATAATTTTGGGTGAAGTGTTGTGGCCCAGAAACTTTTGATGAGTTGAAGGCTGCTATGACGTAGTTGCCAGAGTTGGCTATGCTTAACTTTGAGGACGTCTTTGTTTAGAGATATATGCTTCTAGAGTTGGAATGAAGCTATACTGATGTAATCAGGTCGACCTATAGCTTTTATAAGTCAGGCTTTTTCGAATTCTGCTAAGGGGCCGTTGGTGTATGAAAAAGAGCTTAGGGCTATTGTTTTTGTTGTACAAAAAATGGCGTAATTACTTATTAGGGCGCCATTTCATAGTAAGAATGGATCAAAGGAGCTTAAATTTTCTGACAGAGCAACGAATAATGGGGGAAGGACAGCAAAGGTGAACTGGTTAAGTGATGGGATTTGACTTGGAAATCCAGTACAAACCAGGGAATGAGAATACGACTGTTGATGCCCTTTCTTGTGTGATGGTTTGTAAGGAATTATCGGTCATCACCAGTGCTAATTTGCAGGCATTGGCTGGGGAGGTGCTTGCTAATCCTAGAACAAAGATGATTATGACAGAGGTTATGTAGGATGCTGCCTCACACCCTGGTTAGCATGTAGGAAAAGGCTGCCTTTGGTACAAAGACAGACTGGTCATTCCTCGCTCGTCACCACACATCTCTATTATTTTACATGAATTCTATACGTCACTATGGGGTGGTCATTCAGGGGAGATAAGGACTTACAAGAAGATAACTATAGTTTTTTATTGGAAAAAGGTTGAGGATGGACGTCGAGCGGTTTATTCAGTCCTATGAGGTGTGTTAGTAGTAGAAATATCAGAATTTGTTGCCTGTTGGTTTGCTTAATCCACTGCCAATACCTGAACATGTATGGCAGGACCTTTCTATGATTTTATTGCTGGCTTGCCAAAATCTCAGAGGAAAGACACTATTCTTGTAGTAGTGGACAAACTCACTAAATATACCCATTTTATCACATTTTAT